ACCCTGGTGGCGCCTTCCTGTTTGGGACCCAAGAGTCTGTGCCGGGGACCACACCGGAGCCAATGCCAGAGGGCTGCGGCCTACCCTACGAGAAGCTGCCGCCCACCCCCGACTGCCCGGGCAGCGGAGACTGCACAGTGATGACGCTGCCCCGCATCACTGGACCCCTCTACGTGGACGTCCCTGCTGGGCTGCTCACACCCGAGGCCTCGCCGGGCAAGCGGGGGCCCTGCCTCTGGCCCCTAGCCCTGGACAAAGCTTGGCCTGGGCTGGATTTGCTACCAGACCCTGAGGATGCCGCGCTGCTGGAAGACACAGCCAGCGTGGAGGAGCTCCTGGACGCGCTGCTGGTGGAAGCTGGAGCTTGGGGGGGGGTTTCCCCCAGCCTGCTGCCCCTCCCTGCCGCTGCCTCCCCGCCTGCACCCCCTGGCCCTGGGGGCCTGTCCCCTGCCGAGCGGCACCTCCTGGACGACCTGGCATCCTACGAAACCGCCTTCGAGGCAGGTGCCTCGAGCCGCCCCCGTGATGGGGCGGGTGAGTTGCATCAACTCCATGGACGCCCGAGTGACGCCTTCCACCCAGGTGAGGGTCAGGAAACACGGCCTGCTTGGGAAGAGTGAGGCCTCAGAGCCCAGACACCTGGGTCCTCTGGGAGGAGGTGGTCCCAGCTCTGGGAGGGGAGTGGGGCTGGTGGGGGGTGAGAGCAGGGGCCGATCAAGTCAAGTCTCTGGACACCTGGGTTCTACCCCTGCCTCAGTTTCCCTCTGTGTTCACGGGGGGAGGGTTGGGCTGCCTGCAGGGACCCCCTTCACTCCTCCTAACCCCCTTCCCTCCTTTTCTGTGCCCCCCCACAGATGGAAGCGAGAGTGACCCCACGTTCTGAAATAAGTCTGTGACTTAACTTCACCCAGTATGGCATATTGTCATATTTCGAGGAACCCCCTCTCCTCCCCCGCCTGCCAGCCGGCACGGAGACAGCGCCCGGACGCCTGGGTTCTCCGACTCCCCCACACCCCGCACTGGACGGCGCGTGGCCCGGCCAAGACAACATGATGGACCAGCCCAAGGAGCCGCCCGGGCTCTGGGAAGTGCTAATGTACGTGGATATCTACATGGACCTGTATCACTCGTAACGAGTTGCTGTAATTAAATACCCCCATCCCCTCCCCGGGGGTCCGGCCTGGCGTCGGAGGCCCCTTCCCACCCCGGCCCCCCGAATACGGCACGAGTAGGTGGTATCTAACCTACGGCAGTAAGCGCCCATGGCTGTTTGGGTTATTCTCGGCGGCGCTGGCTCTGGGTTTTTGGCAGAGCCGCGCCAGCCCCAGAGGCCCCCCCCCATTCCTCCCACCCCCCGCGCCCCCCTTTGGGGGCCCAGACAATGCTCCCACTGGACTGTCAAGGCAGGAGGCCCCATTGCCATGATGGCCAAGTAGACTTGGAGTAGGCCAAAGCCTGGGGCCTAGCACACAGGATGACACCTATGGTGGAATTTGGCCAACGGCTGGGGCAGGAAGCTGAAGAGTGGGTGCCCCCCAAATTGGGCAGGGCACCCCCCCTCCCCCCACTAACCCCAGTTGCCAAAAGACTGGGACTAGGCTGAAGCCTGAGGCCTGCTGTGGTAGGCAGACTAGGTTGAAACCTGAAGTAGATTTTGGTCATGGGGCTGGGGATAGGAGGCTGAGGAGGGGACACCCCCCAAATTGGGGAGAGTGCACCCCCCTTTCCCCTCCTGCACCCCCCAGCCAGACCAGGCCTCAAAGTCACCATGGCTGCACCCCTCCGGCCTTGACAATCCCATGAACCAGGAGAGAGAGCGAGAGACCTCTGCACAAGCACACGTGCGCGCATGTGTGTTGCCACATGCTGGGAGCCCCGAGTCTCACGGGACCCCCCAAAGTTGCTCTAAATGATCCCTCCCATAATGGCTTCGTTAGCAAGACATGGTTTGGATGGCTGAGCTGCTCTGCTAACGAGCCACCTCCTGTGAGGGGGGGGTCATTAGGGTATTGGGGGGCCCTGCCTTGAAAACTGAGGTGCTGCCTTATGGGGTTGAATGGGGGGGAGCAATATTGCTTTTCGGGTCTGCTGAGCCTGGACTGGATATTGGGGTCCCCTCTGTGGATGAAGGCTTGAAGCCTGGGGGGGTACCCTCAGCTGTAAATCGGGGTTCCCGCTGTGGCCCAGATATTGGGGTCCACTCTATTGGCTTGGGCTAAAATAGAGGGTCACTCTATGGCCACAGGGCTGTATATTGGGGTCCCCCTTATAGTATATCTGGGGGTCCCCCTTTTGCAACCAGGCTAATAGAGTCCCCTCTCCTGTATCCAGCCACATTCTCCCTCTGTCTCTCTCTCTCTCTCTCCCGGCTCCCAAAATCCCCCTCTGTGACTATCAACACCCCTGAAACTACCCCCCTGCACCCTAGAAAGAGCTTAGAAGGCCCCCCAATACCCCCGCTGCCTCCTAGCGCCCCCTGCTGGCGGGGCCGGAGCCCCCCAATTCTCCACCTGTTCATAGCTATAAATAGACCTGTATAGTGCTTTTTTCTTTAAGGGAACATGATCGCGCGGAGGCCGGATTGTACATATGTAACGCGTCGCAAGGGATCATGGGTAACAAGTTTCCTTTTTTTAAGGGGAAAAAAAATAGACCAAAAAAGGCAACGAACAAAATCAAATACAACGCACGGATTCCCGCCTCCCCCCGCTGGCGGTGCATGGCCACGCGTGTAGGGCTGGGGGAGGGCCCGTGGCATGTTCGTGTGCGTGTGCTGCCTGTGACACGGCCCTGCGCCGGAATAAACCAGATGCTGAGCACGGAGCCGTGGGAGACTCGGTTCTTTTGGGGTGGGGGAAAGGTGGGGAGGGGGCAGATGAAGGGGGTGGATGAAGGGGGGCACCCTCCAGACTGGGATCAGGGGGCTCTGGGTGTTGTATAGACCCCCCAGGCTGACATCAGGGGGTGCCGGGTGCTATACAGACCCTCTAGGCTGGGATCAGGGGGTGCTGGGTGCTGTACAGATCCCCCCAGACTGGGATCAGGGGGCACTATGAACCGTACACAGACTCCCCCAGGGTAAGATTGGGGGTGCCAGGTGCTATACAGACCCTCCAGGCTGGGATCACAGGGTGCTGGGTGCTGTACAGATCCCCCAGGCTGGGATCAGGGGGCACTAGGCACTGTACAGATCCCCCCAGGGTGGGATCAGGAGGTGCTAGATGCTGTACAGACCTCCCAGGACTGGGATCGGGGGGAGCCAGGTGCTATACAGACCCTTCAGGCTGGGATCAGGGGGTGCCAGGTGCTGTACAAACCCACAAGGACTGGGATCGGGGGGTGCCAGGTGCTATACAGACCCTTCAGGCTGGGATCAGGGGGTGCCAGGTGCTATACGGGTGCCGGGTCCTGTACAGACCCGCCAGGGCTGGGATCGGGGGGTGCCAGGTGCTATACAGATGCATCAGGCTACGATCAGGGGGCACCAGGTGCTGTACAGACCCCCCAGACTGGGATCAGGGGGCACTATGAACCATACACAGACTCCCCCAGGGTAAGATCGGGGGTGCCAGGTGCTGTACAGACCCACCAGGACTGGGATCAGGGGGTGCCAGATGCTATACAGACCCTTCAGGCTGGGATCAGGGGGTGCCAGGTGCTGTACAGACCCGCCAGGACTGGGATCGGGGGGTGCCAGGTGCTATACGGATGCATCAGGCTACGATCAGGGGGCACCAGGTGCTGTACAGCTCCCCCGGGACTGGGATCGGGAGGTGCCAGGTGCTATACAGACCCTTCAGGCTGGGATCAGGGGGTGCCAGGTGCTGTACAGACCAGCCAGGACTGGGATCGGGGAGTGCCAGGTGCTGTATGTCCACCCCAGACTGGGATCAGGGGGTGCTGGGCACTGTCCAGACCCCCCAGGCTGGGATTGGGGGGCACAGGGGCTGTACAGACCCACTAGCCTGGGATCGAGGGTGCTGGGTGCTGTATGGACCCTCCCAGGGCACAACTGAGGCAGCAGGGTTGGGGAGGCCTGAGGGTTCAGCCCTTGGGGCTGGGAACTTGGTGTGGGGGAGGGGGTGGCCAGACCCCCAAGCTGCCTCTAGTGGGGGTGGGAACTGGGAGAGGGAAGCAGGGGGCACTAATGGAGGCAAGCGTGGTCCAACCGGGGCTGGGGGCTAGGTTTTGGGGTGCAGAAGCAACACCTCCCAGCACCGGGGAGAACCCAGCGTCTGGGCTCCCAGCACCCCCTGCTTTAACCCTCCAGCCCCCACTGCTTTCCCAGAGACCCCAGGCGTCCAGGCTTGCAGTGACCCCACTCTCACCCAAGGGCCCAGCCCCCACGTCTCTCCCGAGAGCCCACGGGTCCGGCCTCTGTGCCCGCCATGCCTGGCCGAATGGGGGAGGGGTCTCCCTGGCCACGCCCTCCCGGGGGGTGGCCTGGGCGGTCCCCACCCAGATCTCCTTGCACCTGCAACGGAGGGCGGAGCAATGCTGGGGCAGTGGCCCCTTCTGATTGGAGGAAGGGACCATAGAGTCAGGGCGAAGGGGGTGGGGGCAGAGAGAAAGCACTCCTGATTGGATGAGGCACCCTGGGGGCAGGGTGATGCGACAGTGGGGTAGGGATCCTTGCCCCTGATTGGAAGAGATAAGCAGAGGGGAGGGGCAATGTGGTGGGTGTTTAAGAGGCACCTTTCTGATTGGTGGCTGCTGTGGCAGGGTGCCCGTCTGATGGGAGGGCAGTTCAGGCCCCGCCCTCACCCCGTCCCTTGGCGGGAAGTCTAAAGTGACAGTGCCCTCCAGTGTCCGGGTCCGCCCCCCTCGGCCTCTGCTCGCCCCTCCCCCCCGGCACGCCCATCCCAGGACCAATGACCAGCCACCCCGGAGTGCGGCCGGGGTGGGATCGTGGCCCGTGGGGAGTGAGGGCCTAGCCACGCCCCATCTAAGCGTGGGGGAACCTAGCTCCGCCCCCTTCCCTACTCCCCAGGCATGGGGGGGCACCCATTCCCCCCACAACCCCCTCCAAATCCTTCATTAACCTTGACCGGTCGTCCGGGCCCATGCTTCCCCCCTTCCTGACAATCACTGCATAGACAATAGTCTCATTTGCATACTCATTTTAATATAGTATAAATAGTAAGAACCAGAATGACGATATTAATAAGAGCGATAAACCCTCTCTAAATGCTAGATCTTCATGAATAATCATGACGATAGCACTCATTTAATGATGATCTCTCTTGTAAATGATGACGAGCGTCCTTAAATAAGGGTGTGGACGGTTTACATCGACGATCCTGATGTAAACTTCATTTTAAGACGAGGTCTTCATTAATGACGACGATAGAAAGTTGATGATAATTTATATCGATGACCATGATGGATCTGGGTTACTATTCATGATGATGATGGGTTTTCATTAATGATCATGATGGATCGTGATGATGGTGATGATGTATATCGATGAAGACCATAGATCTTGGTTAATATTAATGATGATGGTCATGATGATGATGGATCTGAAAGATGATGCTGATAGACGTTATTTAATAATGATGATAGATAACTCTTATTGTCGATTTATATTGATGATGATGATAGATCGGTTTTGATCATGCTAGATCCTGTGTAATAATGTTGACTTATACTGATGATGATGATTTATACTGATGATAGATCTTCATTTGTATTAATGATTAATCCTACTTAATATTGATGTATACTGTAAATGAGGAGGAGGAGGATACTGAGGATAGATCTTAGTAGTGATGATGATGATGACGGATATTAATGACGATGAGGAGAGATCCAACGATGACGACGATGAAGACAGATCGCCATGAATGATCAGGGTGACGATGATGACGAGATAACGAGCTAAGGAAGAAGAAGGAGGGCGATGAGGAAGGTGTTGACTTTGTTAATGATGGTGGTGATGGATCCTCATTAATGAGACATGTTTAATTAATGGCACCGAGGCTGGGGCCGGCCAGGTCTGGCTCTTGACGGGCGGTGATGATGACAAGGATGCTGACACCCACCCCCGCTCCCTTTTTTCCCCGTTTTCTTGTGTTTTATCCCCAAAAAAGGAGCTGAAGCGACGGACGCGGCCCCGGCGCTAAATATAACCGGGCTATTTCTGGCGCCCCCGCACCGGCCGCGGCTATATTTAGGGCCGGGACACGCGCGCCCACGCTCACGCACCAAACACGCAGGCACACGCCGCCGGGTTGCCAGGCAACAGCGAGCGGCTCCCCCCATATAAGGGCAGATGCAGCGCGGGAGCCTATTGGCTGCGGGGGCCGCAGCGGAAGGAGCTGATTGGGTGCCAGGGATGGGGGCGCCCGGTTAAATCGGGACCCAGCTGGGGACAGGCCTGATTGGGTAACTGGGGTGGTGACGCAAGTGTGCGGGCCTGCCTGCGTGCTTCTGCATACAGGTGGGGGGGGTGCGTTTATGTGTGTGCGCGTGCTTTACATGTATATATGTCCCACACGTACACATCGAGTGGCGTGCTGCGTACATTGATACACACTCGTGTGTGCCTGGGGGTTGTAGAGAGGTGTATACTGATGTGGTAGATGTTGTTGAGAGGCGTGCATGGGTAGGGCAAGGGCGCGCGCACACACACACGCGTGTGAACACACACGAACAGAACCCAGCTGTCTGGGACGCAAGCACACACACTTGCACACCTCACGCTGTAGCTTACGAGGATCCCACTAATTTTTTTTAGGGTTTTTACTTTTTTTTTTTAAACCATTAAGGGGGTTTTTTACCCAAAACCCGGCTCCACCCTTTCCGGTCCCCCAGCCCCACCTTGGCGGGAGCCGGGGGGTGGGCTTGCCTCGGACGCCCGGGGTCTCCGGGAGTGGAGTCGGGGCTGGGAGCCCGCACCCGGCCTCTCCCCGTAAGGAAAGGGGCGCAAGCCGGGCGGCCAGGCTCTCCCCGCGCCACATAGGAGTGCGCCTGCGCAGTGTGCGCGGTGCTGCAGCGCAGCGGCTCCTCCCCGCCTGCAGGGGGCGCGCTGGGCGGGGCCTGGCGGTGAAGGGGCGGGGCCTCCCGGGAGGGGGCGGGGCTACGTCCGGAGGCCGCTGGGCTGGAGCCTGCAGGGACCGGGCTCAGGACCCGCACGTGAGATCCACCC